TGACCTATATCAGTACTCGATCGAAACACTTCATCGATTCAACTGCCGAGCCTCTGCCTCTGCCCTCTAGCCGTCGATCGAAATTCTCCAGGCCGACTCTGCGCAGAGCCTCGTCTCTCTCGCGAGTCCAAACAGCGCACTTCTTCGCAGTGAACTCTCTCTCTCTCGCGAGTCTAAACGCAGAGGCAGAGTCAAAGCCGGCGAAAGTAAGACTCCACACTTCGCAGGTCATTCAGACTTTTTTTTTGTTTTCTTATTTTTTTTGAATGGTTATTGTTTCTTTACAGCTCACTTCACAGGTCACACTCACACTTAGATATATTTTTTTCATTTTTTTGTATAATAGTTTTTCAGCAATAACTCATGTTTTACTTTGATAATTATGTTTGATACAAAGTTAAGACTAAAAGTTTGGACTTAAATTATATATATATATATGTATGTATGTATGTATGTATGTATGTATGTATGTATGTATGTATGTATGTGTGTGTGTGTGTGTGTGTGTGTGTGTGTGTGTATGTATGTATGTATGTGTGTGTGTATGTATGTATGTGTGTATGTATATATATGTATATAAATATATATAATGTTCGCCATTTGACCGCCCTCCGCTCGCCACGCTTCTCGCCATAAAAAAGAACCTCTCGCCCGCCACTCGCCATTCGCCATTCACAACTATGGCATAGAGTGATTTTTGTGAGGGGATGCAGTTCGGATGCTGAGTTGCACCAAAGGATTTGTGAATTCTTCAATGGGAAGGACCTCTCCAAAGAGAACGTGGTATATGCTCCTCCTCCAAACTGCAGGCTGCCTTATCCCCTCAACCAAGGATATATGTGGGCTACTCAGGAACAACTTGTTGATGGAACGGTCTTATACAACAAGCTGTCAATCATTAAGACAGCACATCGGTACGTAAATGTCAAAAAAAGGCGTGGCCAAGAAATAATTACAAGAGGGAACAAAATGTTGATTTCCAAGTTGGGGACATCTGCTAGCAGGGGGGACAGTGCAGCCGGAAAAAGATTGACTAGATTGCTTTTCTTTGAGGAAAAGAAACAGCAGATGCTAGATGATTCCTTTGATCACAAAAAGATACGGGATCAACTGGAGGAGGAGGAGGCAAGACAGTATTGCCGAGAAAAAAGAATTTGTCTTGTAAAAACTAGAGGTGATGTGGACCAAGTTCTAAAATGGGTGGTGAGGTGCACAGTGATCTGTGAAGTTTGTAATTCTGATGTGATGCAGTATGCTGTATCTCGAGGGTTGGAAGTGCTGATGTACGTGGAGCGAGGAAAGACACACTCAAGCTCTCCGATCCCATCTCCCTCGCCGTCGCCCCCGAAGTAGAAAGGCAAGTTCTGGTTTTGGTCTGATGGTTTTGCAATAGTTACTGTGTTTTCTTTTTCATCCAGTTTGCATTCTATATCACTCTCTTTGGCACTCGCATTGTATCTCACTCTATATGTCAATATGTTTGCACTAGATTCCTTATCCTTTTCCAGTCCCAGTGCGTTTGCACTAATCTGTTTGCATTTGTCTAACATTTTTAACCCCCTTATCCCCCACACACACACACGTATATATATAAAATTTCAATATACAATTCAAAAAGATCGTTCAGGCATTGTTACTACCCAAATTTATATTTATGTTCTTTTAAAATAATCGTATTATTTTGGTCCTTTTATATTTTCTTTCCATTATATTTTTGTTCCATAATATTACCGTATTTACATTTTTTTTTGAAGTAGATGTTTTAAAGAAAGATTACCAAACTTCATCTAACATACCACTATTATTACTATTACTATTACATTTACTTTTAAAATAAAATTTTTGAACTACAATTACCCGACATCATTTATAAAGCAAATGATATTATTTTCAACCCACAACAACATAGGCCGTGTTTGGAAAACAGCATTTGGGATAGCTTTTAACATCTTTGACTGACTTTGGCTTTTTTGACCAAGCGAACCGCCAAAACCATTGTTTGGCTAATGGCTTTTTCACTTGGCATTTTGATCCGAAAAGCAAAAATCTGAAATGCCAACGTGAGTAGCATTTGGACATGGCGGTTAGAAAAAATATTTTTTTAAAAATCATTTTTGTCGAAAGATATTTTATAATATATGTAAAAAATAAAAATAAAAGTTAAAAAAATTAAATACGAAAAAATAAAATAAAATTAAAAAAAATTATATTTATAATTCATTAAAAAATTTATATTTATAATTTATTATGAATTAAATGAAATTAAAATTTAATATTCCATATAGTAAAGATTTAATTTTTACATGTAAAAAAATGAAAAACAAATATCATGTCTACACACACACACACATATATATATATATTATTTAATTTTTTTAATTTAAAAAAAATATTTATGATATGATATTTAAAAAAATTGTAAAATAAAATATACCATAAATGGAGGGATGTCCTTTTATGTAATTTTATTTACAAACAGCTAACTATAAACAGCTAAAGTTGCCAAACACTTAAAATTTAACTGCTAACAGAAACAGCCGGTCAAAACAGCTAACTCAATCAGCCATTCAAATCAGCTAACATAAATTACATGATTACCTTTTACCAATCTCAAAATAAGTTGTCTGTTTATTGTTATCATGAACTTTTATGAGTAAAATATCTAAACTATTCCTAAAATAAGTCACTCTTCTCCACCTTATATTCTCATTCATAATCACCCTCCTAAAAAAATAAGGTAATTTCATAACATCAACTCTATTTTTTTTCTTCCTTAAATATACTCTAAAGTCCAAATGGGCGATTTAAAACGGGACGGAGGGAGTACAATATACGAGTGCCTCGAGAGTGTTAAGAAGCAAGAAATGGAAACTTACTTTTTCACACCCCAACAAAGTCATTAGATATACTCCCTTCATTTCGTATTAACTATCGATTATGATTTTTTAGGTACATCAAAAAATGAAAGAATTAAACAGATTTTATGTCTACTTCATTCATTTTTCAATGTATCTAAAGTCATAATGGATAGTTAATATGGAATGGAGAAGTATAAGATAGGGTAATGCGCTGCATGGCGCAAACTAGATTGACTATTGTGAGGTCAAAGTTCTTCTAATTTGAAGGACCACTGTTTTCCATTTTTGTCCTCCGCACATCTTTTTTCACAATTAATAGAAAAAACAAAGGCTAAAGGAGAGCCTATAAAGTATAAATGTGTACATAATTCCCAGTTGATAGATACACATTGCGCACATTATAGACTAACGGCCTAACGTATGATGGGTAGAAAGCACAAGGTATAGATCGTAGAAAGCTCAATAATCCGCGGCGAACAAAAACATGGAGATCAGCTTACCTTATTCTGCCATTTCTCGTCACACTGAAACGGTCATTTGATCAGAGCCTATTCTCGAGAAATATCTAGATAAAAGCACAACCTCATCATTTTCTTTGGTATGTACCTCCTTCCTACAGGAAACATTTTCAAGCAGCACACAGGACCAAAGTTAAAAACCAATGCAAGATATAAAAAAACTTTGAAGTGATTACAGGAAGATATTGTGGGGCTAATCAGGTTATTAAACCAAGTCTCACATTTGAAATATTCATATATGTGTCAACCTAACAACATTAGTCACAGGTCTTTTGGAAGGTGGCCAAAAGTAAATTCCCCGTACTTGGCCCAAAGCAGACACTATCATGTTTATGTGAGTTTATATGACTTTTGACGGTTTTAATAGATCAAATGTCAAATGATGCCTCATAAAAAGGGGTTTAAAAGTCTTATTTGCATAAAATATAGGCTAGTAATGTGACTAAACTCTATAAATATTACGGAACCACTTCCAATAACAATAAGAGACTACTCTACTAATTAGTAGGAAAATACCTTATTGAGTTATTGGCTCATACAAAGTCGCATTACTAAGAATGCCCGTGACTATTGATACGGCTGGAAGAAGACTTTCAACATTAAAATGTTAGGTAATTCATTACTGATTTTGTAACTTAAAATTCCTCAAGGGATCCTAGAGGTCAATTTGAAACCTTTGCGTAAACTCGGTTTATGAGCAAGGTAACACACAAGCGGTCAATTGTTAAAGATACTCCCCTTAAAAGCTCAATGACCTAGCGATAGTCCAGCTATGTCTATAGTCAATATCCTGTACCTGCTATCATGGCACAGGTAGGTTTCACCCCAGCTAGTGGACTAAGGACTTCTCCATGATTAAATTGACATGAAAACCGGCCTCCTACATTCCACAAATTCAGAGGAAATGGGGATCGACAATGATTAGGAAGCCAACCCTAGTTCCAAGACAAATTGACTGGGAAGTGGAACCGACTTCTGCAAGAGAGAGCTCACATGGATTTTTTGGTCTCCCCACCTGTCTGTAAGGACCTAAGGCTGAGAGAGTAGTTCAGGGTGGAAATCCTAAGTTGCAATCTCCCCAACTGGATTCCATACAAATGTATAGGGTATTTTTCAACACCGTGTTAAACTTCTTATTCTCACAAGGGATCATAGATGAATCTTCGAGCATGGGTGTTCTCCAACAAAATGGAGGAGTTGAGTGAAAAAATTGTCACCTAATTAATGCATCCCTAACTATACTTCATTCTATATTCTTAGTAACTGTCACCCTTTGACATCACCTGAACGGCTGAACTATGCTCTAACATTTGAAAATATTTTACTGTATATAAAGTTAAGTAGGTTTGTCCAAAAAGAGTTTGACCCGAACGCGGGCAGCGAGTCCTAGAACCAAGCAGGTAGATTGACATCACTTATTTAAATATATATTGTACGAAGTATTGTTGGTAAGAAGTTGAATGCACCGATTAAATTCTGACCCTAATTATCAGTAGTCAATCATATTTCCACTATCATAATTCCACGAAAAATGCTGCAAAATAACTAAAACTAATAAACCATGGTTTTCGGGAATTCTAAGGTCTTACCAAGGAGGGTAAATGCGGATGAGGTCCCCTTTATCAAACTCAACATCAGTACATATTCTTGAATTAAATATAACAGTCATAGCACTTCCTCCATTAGTCTTTTTCAAAGAGGGATGATGCAGCCGGTCAAAACTCTGCAAAAGTATTTGAAATAGTTCTTCACCAATCATAAATGATAGAAGAAATAGCCTAATGGATATTCTTTTTTCTTTATTATTTAGCAGAGTTTCCATCAAGGTTAGTCAAGTCAAATAGGAATCTAAATTGGCTTATTTGGCTATCATTCTTTCCAAAAAATATCACATATTAATGGTGACTTAATTATTTACTGGTAATCATACATCCATACGTGATGCACAGGAGTTTTCCCACTTTAGAACACTTCATACCTCTTCTCCTTTTATTAAAACACATTGACAAATGGTCATCTTTGCCTCCAAAGAGCTTGACAAAATCCTCACATCAATACAGATTTTATCACCTGAAGATAAGAATAGTTCTATTGACAAAAAAACAAAAAAACAAAAAAACAACCCAGTTGGACCCTACACAAGTAGGGTCTGGGGGGAGGGTGTGTGTACGCAGACCTTCCCCCTACTCGAAAGTAGAGAGGCTGTTTACAAGAAACCCCCGGCTCAAGATGCATAGATGAAAAGATCACAGGGGATACATAAAGAAAAGTTAACAAATGAAAAAAAATACAGACACGTGATTCATAAAAGTAGAAACGCATAAATAGAGATAAACTTTTAATGCATTGCATTTACCATCCAGAACAGTGTCTTTCGACATGTGGTTCATGAAAATTTGATCACTTTCCTTCTCACTCAATATGACACGTTGCAAGTTAACAAATAACCCACTACTGCATCGGAAAAAGAAAACCCATTCAAATGTCAAATAGCTTACGCGAGAGTTGATGCCTTGGTGCCATGAAACCTATACATTTCAATGTTGGCTTTAGATAAAGCACTCACCAGTGGAGCTCAGGAGTGGAAAAAAGCGATATTCCGCCATTTCTAGTTGCACTTCCTAGAGCTTCATCAAATTGGTCTGCAATGGTTTTCTTAGGGACAAAAGCTTTTAAAACTTGAGGGGTTTCCTGAAAAGACAGAAGGAAGATATTTATCGGTAGTACTTATCTCTATCACTTTACCTAATTTCCATGAGGAAACTACTTTAGACGGCACTTTACCTCATCATCACTCGATGGTATATTATCATCAATTGCAATCCCTTCACCCAATGTTGATACAATTCTCCTTGAAAAGTTTTTAACCCCTGTTTCATTTATATTATTTAGCTGGAGAAATCCAAAAGTAATGATATTACTAAAACCAAACAGTATATATATACATGAGAAAATATAAATTAAGCTTCAAGCTGACCTTCATAGGATTCCCCAACTGCAAACGCTTCTTCTCCTGAAAACAATCCAGAAGCTCAGCCATTGAACGCTCACTAGATTTGAGTTCAGTTGCTAAGTCAGATCGTGCCATATCATTCCCTGTCAGTTCTATTTTATTTTCTTGCATACTAAACAAAGAATCCCCCAAAATATTTTTCTCAATCATATGCGGATCTGTGCACAATTCTTCATTTAATGGAAACTGAGACGAAATGCTGCATTTACTGGATTCACCCCCAACAACAGAATGAATAGCTCCCCTTTCTCTGTCGAAATGTAATAAACATCGGTGCTTGACTCTCTGTTGTCTTCCTGCATCATTGGATCACCTATTGTAAAAATCAGCTAATATGGTGTTGAAAGGAGGAAGAAATATATGTTACATGAAAGAGAGAAAGAGCGTTTAATATAATATTTTCAAAATACATTTGTAGCATATACATACATGGATTTTATGTAATACTCGTATGCCATAAAACAAACAAGAAAAATATATCTTGTAACAAATGCCTTTTTTCTAATTAGGGACCTTTGCATTCATGGCCAAAAGGAGCTTTACAAACGGTTTGAAAATACAAAAGCAGGGTGTTGCATACCATCCATGAATAACCTAACCTGTCATGTCAACAAAATTCTCTACCTTCATCTGTAACTTTACATTTAAGTTGCAGTAGCACCCACATGGTGTGCAAACATTCCAATGAGCAAAAAAACTCTTTTTCTGTTTCAAAAGCCTTTGTTGTACTTAAAAACTATAATCAAGCAAAACTACTTTTTCATGTAATTTACCAAAAAAAGAAACACAGATAAGATAAAATAGATATGATAAATTTATTTTAATCAAAAAATAAATTTTTAAAAATAAGTCAGATTAATGACTTGTAAGAGAAGGTAGAGAATTTGGTAAAGAGTGGAGGAATGTATATCAGTAGCTCTAAGAGTCCAAGCTTGTTACAAATGCACTGGATCTAAAATCCTCTTGAAAGATTTGGTAACGATATATGTCAGTGGAGTATTTGAGCCAAAAAAAATGAAATGATAATTTCTCCAGAGGCAACCTTTTTTGAACAGATAATCAAAGTCAACTTTCAGCAGTCAACACAAGGCTAACCTAAATTTCTCCAGAGGCAATCTAAATTTTACCGTATAGCTAACCTAAAACTAACTTTCAGCAGTCAACACAAGGCTACACAAAGACATGCCAATGTTTCTCTTGAATCTCATGGTTACCGAGAAAAGACTAAAAGCTGAAATAGACTTTTATTCTATGTTTACTTCAAGGAGTGGGAGTGACTCCATGGGTCTCAAAATTTTGAAATGACTCACTATTTAGTTTACTTCCAAATTTTAAAGCGATAATGAGGGACTCTCATCACACACCTTTTTCTGGGCTCACAAAAAGTCAAGTATGAAAAAAATCAATATGCCCTTTGTGCCAAAATAAGCTTCATGGTTTGACTCCACAAAGTTTAATAAAAGTGTTGAAAAGTGAAAAGTCTATGGTTAGATTTTGCATAGAATAAAGAGAAATGATGTTAGCCACACATCCCTTAGAAGTGATATAAAGTGTAAAATTTATTTTGGGATGGACAAAAAGGAAAGTGTGAAATTTATTTTGGGACGGAGGGAGTATATACTTTTTTTAAAGTAACACATACAAAATGTTAATTATAATAATAGCTCAACGTAATATACTGCGATCCAACACAGTATAATGCCACAGAACATAAAAATATGATACCGGTGCACAACAATTCACCTGCATTTACTAATACAAATACACCCTAGCTTGGAAAACTCACCCAAAAGTGATATAGTTCTACCATCAAATTCTCTTCATAACCTCTTTCTTATAAGAACATACTTATAAAATTGAAAATATCTTCAGAAAGACCAAATTTATTACATCATGATTCATGAAGCACATGACTAATGACCAATCCGTGAAATTGGAAACTTTTCTTTACAAAGACATTGAGTGGATCATAAAGCTCAATTGTTTTTATACAGAAAACTCAATCAATTAAAACATGTTCAACAAGCATAAAAACTAGTACCATTATTAGCTGGATTGATAGGATCCGATGAGATACCACACACTAATGAGCAGCCAAAATTTTCATCGTTGAAATAGAATGCCTCAGAATGTTTGCTTGCTCTTGAGAGTGTGCTCTCCCTCTCACATTTAAGACTTCCAACATTTAGCTTCTGCAGATGTTTGAGCATCAAAGAGAATATATCAAATTATCATAGTACTAGATACTTGAGGCATGTAGTGGTGTTCTCTTTCATACCTCATCATCAGAAATAATCTCCTCATCAGAATTGCATATACAATCCAAAACAGGAAAGAACCCAATTTCCTCGTCTGAATTGCAAGCAGAAGCCACACTGACATGGTTTTCATTGTTGAAAACAGGAAGCTCGACATCGTCATCAACGCACAGTTTATTTTGCCTCTGAAATAAGTAAATAACAAATACATATTCAGGCCATTGCATTGTGGCTGAAAATATTCATCCAAACTTTTATGATTCGGTATCTTTGCATTTTCCTTCCAATAACCAAACAAGTGATAGCAGTCATATTATTTGTGTAGATACTAATCTATCAAAATAATACTCCGTACATATGTTGTGACTGAGTACAGAGAGAGAGAGAGACAGAGAGACAGAGACCAGATACGATCGATTCAGGTTTGAACTTTGAATATTTCGTTTTTTAACCCCGACCTTCCCCTTCCCGGATCGTATCGTACTGACGATCCAGCAATTCTACGAGTGGCTCGCTGATCCCAACGATTCTGGGAAATTCCGATTTTATCAGGGATCTGGATCGATGCTATGATCCTGACTCGTACAATCATGCGATCTTACGAGTTCACTCAAGATTTTAACAACCTTGGTTCTACAGTTACACTCTTATACCAGCATTTCCAATACACACAATTATGTTAAGTTTGCTAAACAAGGCCCTAGTCCAGGGGCGAATAGAAAACAAAGAATACACATTGTAGGTTTTTCTTGCCCGTGGATGGAAGAGAACGAATAGTACGTGACTTGTTTTTAAAAACTAGGTTTCTTCAAGATACTTTTCACTAACAATCTGCAGACAGTAAATAGGTAAAGCCTGAAAGAAGAACAGTCCCTCCTTAACCACACTAGTGATCCAAATCATATTAGATTCACCTCTAAATTACTTCCAGGGAAATAACAACGGCAAACCCAGTATAATCCCAACTCAGTTGGGGTGTGTAGGTCAAGATGTAGGCAACCTTACCCCTGTAAGACCAGGGAGGCTATTTTAGTTACTCCCTTGATGCATTGCAGTATTTACAGCCCAAAAGCATCATAGAAAGTAAGAAACAATGAAAGTTTAATGCATCTTTTTGATTTAGTACATTAAGAAATACGGAGTAATAACTAAAGAAAATTTAATCTATGGGTAAGAATAACCTACTAAAGGAAACAAATAATATCAGACTAAGGAATTCACTTGCTCCGTTAACCCAACCACACACCTCCCTGCTTTTGCCATGATGTTGAATACGAATAAATGAGTCATTAACGCCACTCATATCACAATGAAGCTTGTTCACAAGCTAAAAATTCAGATATGAGCCTTCAAATGCCTATAGAGGCTCCCAAGTAGCGTCAGAGACAGTGCCTTACCGCCCAATAGATGAGGACATGTCAGTGTGGCACCCCTATTCAAACAAGTCCAAAGAATCTCTACCAGAGTTGGTAAAGCCTTCCCCTCACCTGTTGGCAGAAGTGGTCCTCTTGTGGTTAGTGCCTCACTTTGTGTGGTTTCAAAAGGGATATGCAAAATGTGTTGTGGATCCGGCTCTCCAGCGGCAGCCGGCAGATCCAGCGGATAAGCTACTTCCCCCATCCGGGACCAAATGGTATGAAGAATCACGGGAATAGCTTATGATATTGATGCCAAATGACAGGAAGTTGACGATTAAGGAAGTAACCATAACCACATCCTTTTTCTTTATGGCTTATGGGGGTATTTTAGAGCCTAATGTCATTTCCATGCATTAAGTGTAAAAAACACATCACACATGTCAATACCTATTTGGATCTGCCCAAGCGTCAAAGTGGGATTCTTTGTCTCGTAGGCCTTCCACTGATTATGGATAGATGCTCCACTCAGTGGATTTTGGGATACGAGTCACAGTTGGGTAGTCTAGCCACACTAGCCCGAGCAACTCTATCCCATTAATTTCATTTTTTATTTAATTTCTTTGTGAGGAATGGTTGCATTTTTGGAATATCTTTAAAGCACAGTGCCACTACATACTTCAGAATCCTTATTTAATTCTTGCGGGTCATCAATTTGTATATGTAGATATTAACTTTTTCACCATTCAGCAATTTGTACCTCTTGAGTTTCAGTGGTTCCCATGGATGTGCAACCCAGCTTGTGAACATCTGCACACAAAACGTAGGACTAAATTTCAAAATATGCAATTATATGCTCCAGTATAAGAACAACTCTTAAAAGGACAAGGATGAAGGAAATAGACTATCACTTCAACTTTTACCCTTTAGGGTCTCGAGCTGTGAAAGTATCCCTATATTTCCCTGCTGAAGTGGGATAAGAAAAAAGAAGAAGCACAGATGAGTACGAATATGCATCAAAATCATTTATAAATTCTTTCCTGCCACCTCTGTTAAGAAATGTGAAAGTGCTGCAATGTTCAAAGCTCAAATTGCCTCATGCAGAAAGGGTTGAACGTTGCAAAAACCGATTCTCACTTTTGGAGTTTTACTCAGTTGTTGTTATTGCAACTGTTGACTTGTAGAATCTTACGGTCAGTTTAAGAGTTGGATTTTAGATAATTTAAGAGTGGAAGGCTTAGTGTATATTTTGATATATATATATATATATATATATATATATATATATATATATATATATATATATATATATATATATATATATATATGATTTTATAAAATTTGAAGGAATTAGATAATACTCCCTTCATCCCAAAATTAAATTCTCATTTAAGCATGTCACGGAGTATAAGAAAAGTAAAATTGTGTGCTCAAAGTTTGAAAAAAGGAGTGAGAAAGAATATGAACAAAAGTTTCTATCCTTGAAAGGAATGGAAAGATTATTTTGAGATGTCCAAAAAATTGAAAGTAGGAATATGATTTTGGGATGGAGGGACTAGCGAATATGTTATAATACAAGGTTTCAGTCATTCTTTATTCAACAACAAGAACATTACCCCAGTGCCTCAACGGCTCCCGCCCATTGCGGGGAAGGGGAGGTCGGATGTACGCAGTCTGACCCCTATGTTTAAAACATAGAGCGGCTGTTTCTAGATGACCCTTAATGAGCGTCAAAAGTTGTATTGACCAACTGCTACTTCACAATTGCAAGAAGCGCACACAATTTAGAAAGCCAATTTGCTTTATTCAATCATTCTTTATTCAGCTTTATAAATATTATATTACTCAAAATATAGACTAAGCTATCCAGAAGTCCTAAACCACCCAAAACTATGCATCCAAACACTCCCATATTGAAAGCAATATACTTTGTCGTATAAACATTAGTGCGCAAAACTAACTGCTTCCAAAGGAGCTCTGTACTAAGCACCCGTGGATAATGGAAAATGTATGACAAAACAATGTTATAACAGAGTTCATTCACCATACTCCGCAAGGTTCATTTACCAACCTTATCATCAGAAGCAATGCCTATGGAAACACAATTCCTTGTCCAATTATAGTCTATATCTTCATCTTCTGATTATCAGTAAGAAGGAGAACAAAATAAATTAAATATATTAAGGAGAAACAAATAGAAACCGCCAGGTCTAAATGTTGCGCTGTTCTTCATCAAACTAAATCTTACCGGAAATGCTTTGATCAGAATCTTCGTTTCCCTACAGAAACATTGAAGTTCAATTTTTTCTATTAAGTAAACTTCCACGATCTATTATCTGGAGAAAAGCTATAGACAAAATAATGGGGGATAGATGATGCTTATACCGTAGGCAACATCGTTGCTCGCCGTGAGCCGCCTCCTTTCAGTGCCGACTGCCGAGCAACCGAAGCCGGAAGTGATTTGGTAAATTGTGATGGATTATGCATATCCCTCCGAGTATCCAACACATCATTCAAAGTGGCTACCTCTGGGTGTTCATCGACTTCATTCGGATATTCCATCTAGAAATTCATATTTTAAAAAGGTTGACGAATTCAAAACTTGGATTTTGCTTCAAAATAATTCCACCATTTTAATTTTTAAATAATTGCCCGTCTTACCTTTTTTGTTGGATTGTGCAAAATAAACTCACCTTTCCTCAAATTATCTCTAATAAATCATACTCTCTCCGTCCCAAATTATAATGCCGGTTCACTATTCACGTGGTCAAATTTCATTCACTTTCTTTCTCAATTTTCATTAGCAATTTGATAAAATAAAAATACTATTGTCACTACTAGTTTTGTAGATTAATATTTAAATATGTAATTTTTATCTTTTAACTATATATCATTTGTCATATAAAATGATTTGAAAATAATTTTAGTCAAACATCGTAAACCAAAATAGGCGTTATAAAATGGGACGGAGGGAGTACTTTTTAGCCTTGTTGAGTCTTTTTTGTTATTGAAGTGAAGAAATAAAAATAAGTGAATTCTTTAACTTCTTTTTTTTTTTGGACAAAATGCACTTTTTTATTAATCACTAAATATAATTCAGTAGACACAACCAACCAATTGGAGCTATATTATTTTTTCAGTTTACAGAAAGAAGAACTGATACGAATATCGTATCGGGTAGAGAAGAACTCCGAGCGTTCTTCAAGCTCCAAGAAGATGAGGTAGAGAAAGACGGAAAATTTTGAGCGTTTCTGGGCTATAAGAGAATAGAGAAGGAGATTAGGGTTTTGATATTTCTTTATTGATTGAATAATAATAATACGAGAGTACAATATATAGAGATACGAGAAATCCTGATTAACCTAATGGGCTTGGGCCCCATACTAAAACCTAATCATGAGTACCTATATGATACTACTAATTAATAAACAACTAATTAAATAATATAATTCATCTTCTGTGTCATTCTCACCCTTAGAAAGCCACCTTGTCCTCAAAGTGGAGGCTTCCACTCGTGCTTTATAACCGGAGAAAGAATGTTGAACCAAAGGAGGAGTCCACTCTTTGAATCTTTAACCACCTTGGCTCGTGCAGAAAAGTGATGGAAATATAAGCCAAGACACGTAGCATATGTATTTTCTCTAGGTAAAACTAGGTGCTCCGTCTTGACCACATCGACAATGTCAAACAACTTAATGGTGTTAATCAAAATAGGTGAGCGTACATGTTTACCACCTGCATCTGTCACTTTGGCAACACTTTTTGGAATATCATACTCTCCAATGATCATACCAGCTGAGGTATAAAATTCCTAAAAAGAAGGATATGGCTTGTCGACATTAGCAACATCTCCTGCAAGAGGACCTTCATTTTTGTCCACAACGTTGGACCTCCCGTTATCTTTGTTTATGGCTTCAGGACCGATATCCACTTGATCTCCAACTTGTGAGTCAACACTTGATTCCTCCTTGGATACTTGATCATGTGTTTCAGTGTTTTGCTCAATTACTGTAGAGACCAGATTTGGCGCAGAAGATAGAGTATCAATGAGAATTTTTATAGCGCCCAACATGTCTGTTCTAAACTTTTGTAACTCCCAAGGAATCAAACTCGGAAAAATTGTGGGCCCACGAGCCAAATCCTGTATCGCGCAAGAGATTTCAATGTCAAATGTGTGTAAGTCTGAATCATTATTTGACTGCCCTTCAATATGACGAAATGATTGGAGATTATTTATAATTTCGTCTATGTGATCGTAAACTGCACACACTCCCTCATCGTTCTCAAGTTCTCCATATAAAATCATCTCTAGCAAATCAGTAAGTTTGTCAAGTGCACAAGTACACATAAGCAAAGTCTCTAATCGCTTGAATGAGGTCTCCATCACTGAAAAAAAATCTTGATGCATTTTTGTCAAAGAGTGAGTAAAGGTATTCATTTTTGAATTACCGTACCAAGGGCTAAACTCCCACTTCTGCTTGGTATACAATTGTAGCGTCCAAACTTGATAGAGTAGAACACAATTTACTGCCAAAATTCCTGTGCTGCTTCGATATGATGAGTGGGCACGGAGCAAACTTGCTTGAGGGCTGCAGCAGTTTTTTTTTCAAATGGCCAAATTTATTGGAACAAAGGAGGTAGTGACCAATTGATTGATTGAAGTACGGGACAATTCACACACACTATAGCAGCAAGGTTTGTAATGAAAAAATTAGCCTAGCAATTTGGTGGCGCACTAACCTTTACAAAGTTAATTAGTGTGGCGGCCCAATCAATTGCTTCATATCAATAAATCAAAATTAGGTTGGCCACGATACTTGATGGCGTGAGCAGAACTATGATTATTCATCTTCTGTATCAAGAACTCACATAGAAGAAGTCAATATTCTTGAGTATTGCCTCTTTTGTAATGATCATGTTGTGCAATTTACCATTTCTCATCTTTCATATGTTATATCAAAAAGCTGCCTAGACTGCTGATGTTAGCTTCTTCTTCCTTCTCGGACTGCATGTCATGATTTGTTCTTCCATCGACTCCAGTGAGTTCCCTCTTTAAGTAATCCTGCGCTCTTTACCCGAAGCCCGACTTGACAACACTGAGTTTTGAACAAAGGTTTTGATGACCGAACCCGAAATGACCCGCTAAAAATAGGTCAAACCCGACTGAACCTAAACCCTACTTGACCGACCCGCTAAAGTAAGAATTTTTCAAAATCATACACTTTATTACTCGTTTTTGGTGTATAAATTTATATTTTCAGACAAAATTTTATTGATATTGCATAATTATCTTACTTTTTTCCAAAACTAAAGCATTTTTTAAATTCTTTATATTGATTAATATATTTAAAAATTACTTCAGAATTTAAAATAAAATAATCAAATAGATTTAATACTTTTTTTGATATTTTAAAATTATTAAATAGAAAATGTAAGTGTCAATGTAAATTTAAAAATGTAAAAAACCAAAGTCATAACCCGTTGGGTCGACCCGAACCTGATGACACTAGGTCATGAATATACAGTTCTCAACCCGAACCCAAAATAACACAAACTCAAAGTGACCGAACCCAACCTGACTAACCGATTTGCAAGCTCTACCTTTTGCATTCCCATAAGAGGTGGTTCTCCTCCTCCTCTTCACATAACTCACACTCAGTTGAAATCTGCATAAAGACTTTAAGCCTACTCTTTGTCTTTAATCTTATATGCATGATCAACCACAACATAAATTGGTGCTTTGGATGTGTGCCCTTATTTGAGACCTGCTTATACAGTTTATCTTAGGCTTAACATCATTAAGCCATGAATAGCCTCCTCCAACAGTGTAGCTACCTTTTACATCCATCTTTTTGAATTCTCTTTTGATATTGCTCATATATTTCTAGTACTAAGGACAATTTGTCTTAGGTTCATACTCCTAGTAGTTCCTTTGTAACATCCTAATTTGTGTAGGACTGTAGTCACTTTGATTAAAGTATTAACTTGATAACATCACAATTTAAAATATATACAAAATTTATTTCAAACAACTATGTAAAATATTTTGCAATAACATCGAAGTAAAATTATTTAAAACAGTTCGAAAGCAATTGAAGTTACAACAGTATGGTCAATCCATAATTCAACATATGATAAAATCGTTTACTCAAATAGTAAGTTTGTGCATGTACACGAGGGTGAGATGATTAACACGAGGGTGAGATGTACACTTCGCGGGGAGGTTATCGCAGCTTGGGCGATAGGATGTTATGGCATATGGAGGGCGCGGAATGGGATTATTCATCAGAAGAACATCACGGAGCAGAACACCATTGAATTCATTAAGTTTACCCTTCATAGTTATATAGACTACAAAAAGAAAATGTAACTAGTTTGATGATAGTATTGGTCTTGTACTGAATATTTTCTTGAGAGTGGAATATATTAGTACGTTTGTTCAAAAAAAAAAGTTTGTGCATGTCCACGCACCGCCTCCATCTCAGTACCCTCCAGTATAGACTCCACATTTATTCTCTTTTATGCCTCGTGTAGAAAGATGTAAAAGTCTATACGCGCAGCAATTCAGAAATATTCATCATTCAAACTTATACAGAAGTCAATCCACAACTCTCAATAATCATATGTTATTAATATGATCATAATATTCATCATTTGTCACTAGTTTTATCATAAATAGTTACTCTTAACGTATTCTAGGCTAAAGCCAATCCCACATCATTCTTGATAATAAAAGTGTTCTTAAACTATCTTAATCTAAGTCTAATTGATAACGAGGCTCTTAAACTATGATTAGTTTAAGGCTAAACAGAAGATTCATGACATATTTATGAGTTTTATAGGTCACGCTCAGAAACCGAACAACAGTCTGCTATCTCACTGTCGAGTTGGATGATACCCCCAAACGAGTAGATACTCAAGTTTGGTTTGTGGATCATGTACGTACGTTTTAACCTTGGCCACAGGAAATCATACCCTTAAGGGCTTATCAAATTGGTCACATGGGGTCAATCTTAGAATTCTTCTAAATAGCCTTAATTATTAATTTAGCACAGTAAGAAGGAAGATTCTAGCCCAAAAGTTCATAATACCAAAGATAACTAAATTTGTAACGTCCTGAAAACCAGCTTAGTAGTTAACCATATTTTGAGAAAAATAAATATAATATTTTATTTTATTTTCTGACTTGAAAATATAAACTATTTGTAAAGTCAACTTTTTAATTTAAAATTGAGTCGTTGGATAAATCTCGTAAAAAGGTGACCAACTGTATATAGTTTATTAAGTTTAGACTTATGTTTAATTATTAATTTTTAAGTACTAATTTTTTATTTTTAAATTTTTTATTATTAGTTTTTAAAATTAAAAATTAAATTTATAATTTTTTTTGAATTTTTGATTATTAATTTTTAATCCTTAGATCTTAAACTTTAAATTTTGAATTTTAGTTTTAAATTTTTATTTTTCCAATTTTTAATTTTAAACTTTAAATCATAGATTTGTATAATTTAATTTTTAGTTTTTAATTTTTTAAATTTATATTTTTAAGTTTTAATTTTTACTTTTTAATTTTAGTTTTTTATTTTTAAATTTTAATTTTTTTTACTTTATTGGACTAGTTTCATTGTTATAACGCAGAAGGGATTTGCGTGATTTGGTTTTGACCCGTAGAATTCAAATTTTGAATTTTCAAATCTCTGCCAGTATTATGGAATTCAAAATGTGAATTAGAAGATTTGGAATTGAAATTCATTCCACATATTTTTGTGGAACCAAACAGAAAATCTAGAATTAAAGATTTTCAATTCCAATTCCATGGCCCGAATGTGTACCAAACGGACCCTAATCAATCATCCACCACCCAAAAACAGAACATAGATAGAATGTAGAAGCGAAAGATGTGCTGTGAACTAAGGATTCAGAGAACACAGAAGATAAAGTAAATGCCAAGATTCCACTTGTGGAGCAACTCCACATGGAGTTTACTCTGCCGGATCCAAATTTGTACACCAATCTTCCTGCCGCACGAACAAATAGCTTTGCAAATCTTTGACTAAAATACACAAGTATGTATAATCTGGCTCGATGCCTCAAATTGTTGGCCAATCTCAGAAATAAAAAAACAATAAAGGTTAGAAGGATGAAGGAGAGATCTCACTGTTCCGTCTCGGTCAATGAAATTCAAGTGTATCCGTGCAGGGAAACTCGCACCAGTAGTAAATGTTCAACCATCACCCGATCTCTCTCCTGCCAAAACACATCCACAGATTAGAATGCGTCACTTTGGAAAAAATATACTTTAATTGTTTGAACTTCTCTTGCCCCTACATTTGGATAAACTCTGGCTGCGACTCCGGATAGGGCTTCCACTGGGGCTGTGTTTCTTCAGGCTTTCATTGACATCTTTCTTCAGCTGTGGTCAATTGGTTCAGAATATAGAGCAGTATAATACGCAAAGTGAAGACCAAAAATGCCAAGAAAAATAAACGGAAAACGTGATTCAGCAATAATAAGAAGGTACCAATACACGCTACAAATAAAATATATACGGAGTATATCTTACCGGAGGTGCTGGGGATCTAGATCTTGATAGAGATCTGCAAAATTGCCAGAAAGAAACCCAAATTAAGTACCCACGTGATTTGGTTCCCCAAATATGCTACTTCCAAATAACAGTACCACATACTACCTATTTAGCTATTTATGGTATTACAGATGCTCTACAAAACATCAATGCAGATGATAGTCATGATACCAAAAGAATGCATGCGCTATCAGATAAATGTGCCTTAATAACTTAGCGGCATAGGATATAATGTAAACATGCTGCTGCATATAGATGGTGATTCCCGGTTTCAGTAAGCAATTAAAAATCCAGCTTCATCAACAGAATCCTTGCCTTCTTTGTACATAATTTAGAACCCATGGACATTTTGGTCATGCTCATTAGAACAGAGACATTAAAGATTCCAAAGCTTCCATTCAGAGAACATCATACCTCAACAACCAAAAGTGCCATAAGCTATTTAGCCATATCCATTCAAGTTCCTAGGCAATTGAGCCAAATCCAATTAACTTCCTAGGCAACCGAGCCATATCCATTCATGATCCTAGGCAATAGAGCCATATCCATTCAAGTTCCTATGCAATTGAACGATATCTATTCAAGCTCCTAATATGTAGTCCACAAATTGCTGCTGATAGTCTGATCTAAAAAACAGTGACTTCATAATTATTAAAAAAGGCAAGAATACTTTGAACTCCTCGAGGAAAAGATGAGGTTTACCTTGGCCAGAAACAATAAAACAAGAACCAAACTAAATGTTGGTTCTATTACCCTTTCAGGTCTAGTTTCCCTTTCCTGATTGCACCCACACCCACCCTTTACAAAAACTACTACGTTTTATCTTAAAAAAGAGCCGGAAAAGGAATCATAACCTTGTTTATGACCAAAAGTAAATGCTAACACTTTGAAAGCGTATAACAAATCTAAGCCAAATAAGTATGAGTAGAGAAGAAAAATATTGGGATTGGTAATTACAACATTTTGACGCGTAAGGCACAAATGAATACAACAACATAGCCAACACTCCATTTATCATAGAAAATTCAAATAAAGATGATTGCAGATAAACTATGAGGGTGTTTCTTCGTGCTGGTGCTTATTGACTTATTTTTTATAAGCAGTTTTTAACTTATAAGTTGCTTATACGTCAAAATTGTTTATGGAAGTAAAATGACTTAAACAATAAATAAGTCATTTATAAATATTCACAAATAATGAGGGAGAGTTTTGTAAATAATCCGGTCAAAACGGAGAAACAAAAAAACTGGTTTAAAAATAAATAGCTAAGACCTACTCAATTTTTCTGACTTATAAGTTATGTTAGTTTATAAGCAATTAAGCACACAAACATGTCATCAGCTGACTTATAAGCTTATAAGCACAGAGAAACACCTACTATATTATCACATTCCAAGAGTGCTGCAGAAAAACTGCAAATAACCTTTTAGTACTTCAAGATCAAACCACTCTTCCAAACATTAATTTGATCCACAACGTTAGAGGGTTTATCCTTCAGTAAACTTTAAAAACAATCAAAGAAGCAGGAGCAGTACATCCATGTAACACGGTAATGGAGTAATGGTAAGAAACAGATAGCCACATTAGTAATATTAGGAACACTCTGCCGAGAATCCAGTCATATTAGGGATACACCATTTGAAAATACAATAAATATAATGAAAATTGTTACATAAACTTGTATATTTATTTAAGGGTATTTGAAACAGAAATTCACCATAGGTAAGGAACAGAATGTGAAAAAACATATGGTCAAAATTTATCATTATTATTTCAGACTTCGGAGCTCAAAACTGATGAGGACATTAATCTAAAAACCTCTCACCCACCAAAATAATGTAAAAATGCTTAGTAATAGATGGAAAATCAGCAATCTTCATAAAGGCAAAAATTTAAGATAAGATAGAAACAGTTCATTCAGGTATAAACTATAAATATTGATTAAGAAAAGTACATGGAAAGCAGCAAAGAATCCAATGCATACAAGAGTAATTAATACCCCCTCCATCCCACAATGGATGTCACTGTCCACAAAACAAAGAAAAATCCCATACTTTTTTCAACTTATTTAATTTGAAAATTGGTATAGAAATAAAAAGTAAATCTTACATACTCATATTTAAGAATTACGTGAAATTCTACTAAACAAAAGGTGACAACAATATTTTATTTTATCAAAAAAACAATAAAAAAACACAACTAAACAAATGTTATCGTGAATTTTGAATAGTGCAGAGTGGCATCCATTGTGGAACGAAGGAAGGAGGAAATTGCCCACATGCATTCATATGGAAAACGTAGAAGCTTTCATAAGAAAAAAGAAAAGAATACATAGAGACCGAAGATTGTTAAATTGATGTCACCAAAAATAGTTCTTTACCTTGACATAGAGCGGCCATTTGACTTTGAATCAGATCGTGATGATGATTTTGAATGTGATCTTGAACGTCGAGAAGCCTTGGCTTTAGGAGACTTGCTGCAAGAATAATGAATACTCTTTATATACATAATATCATATTTAAAGCTACAAATCAAAAGTTCATATTCTTAGATAAACCCCTAATACTTGTAGATAAAATGTATGATTGCAATAGACCTTCTGCTACGACTATAACTTCGGTGCCGATGGCGGCTGTGCCCACCACTCTTCCCTCTTGAATAAGAAGGGCTTCTACTTCGACTTAGGCTTCTAGAGCGACCTGAGTCGTATTCCTTAACCTGCATGCACATAACGTGTGATTGTAATAAAAGTATAAAACTAACAGCGAAGAGGATATTCACATGGCATAGATTAAAAATCAGGTAAAAAAGATGGGATGTAGCCGTACATATATTACTGCTCTGGAGTATGCGTTTTGGAACTCAGACGCATCAAGTTTTTTTAGCTAGACACAAGAAGATATTTGTTCAGCATATTATCATTCAAATTGGGGCAATGGATTATACATATAAAATGAGAAACAATATTGATCTATCGAAATGAATAAATATAGCTCACGGCATGTCTCATGTCATCATAATTAGTGTAATCTACAACTCCAGACATTCCTTAAAACAACAACCACCATAGAGAGTGATTAGTACCCAAAAAACGAAAGATGAGAAACAACTTTACATACAAACACATTAGAAGTGGTGGTGTGTGCAATGTTTCCGGTCATCTTACCACTACCCTCGCGAAAAACTTGGGAGAAACAAACATCCCCAGCTCGACGCATGTGATCCTGAATGGCAAGCACATAATGACTGGATTCAGCAATTGGATATCAATATATATATATATATATATGTATGTATGTATGTATGTATGTATGTATGTATGTATGTATGTATGTATGTATGTACGTATGTATGTATGTGTGTGTGTGTGTATATATATATATATATGTATGTATGTATGTATGTATGTATGTATGTGTATATATATATATATCTATATAATCTGGGAGTATGAATAATCACTTATATGCAGCTTTATTAGATGAAGAGTGAACCTTAAGATCTTGCCATGAAGCAGATTTGGGCAATCCAGTGACCGACACTGAGCAAGAGGCAAGAGTGAGTTACTAGAAGAAAAATACAAATTACAAAAGAATAACAGTTGGAGTAAACGGTTTTTAAATAATAAAAAATAAAACCTCGATAGTCAGAACGCCTAGACAAACCACCCCGTGGACCTCGACCACTTTTATAGCTACTGTGGTGGTCATTAAATGATGACTGATTGCGACCACCATGGGCCAACTCAACCTAAGTGTATTAGAAACAGTGCAAGATTAACAAACAACATACGGAAGTTAATTCACTAAAACATACTAAATCAAAACGCATGCCTTACCCGCAATCGATGTCCATCAAAATCATAGCCATCACGGCCACGAATAGCATCATCAGCATCACGAGCATCTTTAAACTGTAATTTAAATAAGAGTATGAGTAATAAAGATTGGTTCAAGATCAAAATAAAAAATGGAAAGACAGTTTTAACTTGCCTCCACAAAAGCATAACAGGGAGGTCTGGAAGGAGTTTTCATTTCAATATGTGCAATCGGTCCATACTGCATTTACATTCAGCACATCATATAAATGACCCATGGATGAACAGAAAATTTAGAGATGCTAAATATGAGCTTAACTTTGTCATGCTCCTGGTGACCAGGTAATGAAAAATAGAAAAGAATATTATGGTAGATCTCAACTGTGAACATTGTACTCAAATACATGCACACGTGCAAAGTAGTCTAGTCAATTATGTTTGAAATACTGATAACAAAAACAGAAAGCTCAACTGATTTTAAGAATAGGAAAGAAACAGCTATTAGATTTAATGATCAAATATATGGTTACTGTGACAAGAATGAAATAACCGGACAAAATCACAGAACACACAATGAATATTTTATATTGCCTTGTAAAACAAATCCTCCACTTCATGCTCACGCGTATCACCAGGAAGATTGCCAACATACAATGTCTTGTTGCTCTTGCTAGAGCGACTCATTTTTCCCTGACAGAAGTAAAACCCAACATCACCAAGATTGTCGATGATAAAACTCATTAGTGCACACATGCCATTGGAAAAAAACCACATATTAACAAAAATGCATATATATAGATGTATATCACCTATAACACAGGGTTCAGTTTGAGAGATGTGGAAGGGGAGTGAGAGAATATGTTCTCATTTGGACTAAATCATACTATTGCTAGTAAATGTTTTTATCCATTATGTTGAATCACACATCTATCCGATTTGCGCCCAAGCACATCTTTTCACACTTGATTATCTAATTTGTTGAAAATGGATGCAAATTATTGAGTTTAATTATTTTTGAACTTTTGAATGGTTTGTAACTAAATGTTTCAAAAGAATACTACATATATAAATGTTTGGATGATTAATCAAGAGAATCCATACAGTAGTATTCTACTAAAGAAAATAGGTGTAATAGGGAGACCGGTGGTTATAAATTTTGAAGTTTGGATGGTAGTAAAGCAAAAGTTTTTATTCTATAATCCTACCCCTTTTAATTCCTCCATTAAATTTCTCCTCCCCCTAACCTTTGAATCAAAAACATTGTAACAATGTGTTTGGATGTGTAGTAAATCCAGAGATATGACACTGGATTCCCTTCCTCAAAAATTAAGACTCCAAATTTTCTTTTAGGTTGTCCCAAAAATAACTTTTATCTTTCCTTTCAAAAAAAGAATTGTGGTTTATTCTTTTTTTCATTCTAGATAAATCTAAACCATGAGTTACAATACTATAAATTCATCAGTACAAGAATATCAGAATATTGTACATCCACTACATTGAGCATTCTTTTCAGACTATTGAGCATTTTCTTTTGTTGTGTAAGAAGGAGTAAGGACAGTGTTCTCATTTATGATTAATGAGCACATAACTATTATTTGGTTTGTAGTAATTTTATGTCACTAATGCGCAACTCATTTTTGGTTTGTGAGCATATAAGTCTCTAGCTCTCTATTGATAAATAATTGTATAGTATTCATGTAATTATGATTGTAGTTTGGAATTTCTGCTAAACCACAATGTTATTTTCTTAATTGTGTTTCAACAGCAACAGCGGCCAAAAATTAAATTCGGGATGGAGGGAGTACTAAAGAAAATAGAGTGCAATCTTTCATTTTTCATGTTAGACAAATAGGCAAATTAAGGGGGGGGAAAGGAGCAAATGGGTGACTGGAATAACTACACACTGTACAGATAATGTTTCCACCTCCCTTCTCAGTACACTCACTGTCTTAAACTCGTCTCTTTTTCTTCCCTCATATCCAAATAAAATTTCTTCTGCATTTTTCACTCCCCTGCCAATTCCATCCGATTATTCAACCAAATTTTCTACATGAACACAGCATATGTCTTTCAATCCGCAGCATACGTAGCACATATGTCTTTTAGAAATAAATCGGCAGAAAAACAGATGTGATAATTTAGATACAATATCACTAGTTAGAGCAACTCCAATGGGAGGGGTATATGAAAGGGTAAAGAAGAATATTTGTGATATGTACCTTTTTTCATTAAAAATCATTCTCCAATGGGAGAGGTAAACAAGAAGGTATTATACCTTCTTCAATTTTAAAGAGGTATCTTTACCTTCTTCATTTGGGGAGGTATATCAGTTTTTCCCACCTTTTAAATTTATTCCATCAATTACTTTAGTTATTGTATTTTTGCTTGAATGTATTATTATAAATTATTAATTTGTATCTTTGTCATTGTAAAACTTAACGAGTCAAGAATTAACAAAAAAAGGATACTTTGTTTTTTAATCTTGCACTTTGTATTTTTAAGTTTTTTCTATTCGGGTATTTATAGTCTTACATGTGTAATTAGACATAATGTATATTTAACTATTTCAAAACTGACATTCTAATTTTTTTTCCAATAAACTAGTTGTATTTTTATAAAATCTTTAAATTTAAAAATTTAATCAAGAAGAAACAAAGGCAACAAACCTCAAATTTACCTCCCCATGATTTTTTTTAAGAATGTATATTTTCTTTTCTAATAATTAAAATGTGATTTAAGAAGATAAATCAACTAATTTTTCCCCAATAATGTATGGAGATGGAATTTTTCCCTCTTTTGCCTTTTGATTTACCTTCCTCGTTGGAGTTGCACACTTTTTGGAAAGGTAAACTTGATCATTTGGAGAGGTAAATGAGATATATACCTCTCCAAGACACCTCTTACCATTGGAGTTGCTCTTATATAGGATTATTTTCAAACATTTAGGAAACACATACATGTGTGCGTGGCGCGATAGCATATTCAAAAGGAAAAAATGGATAGCAAACCTGAGAGAGCGATGTAGAGCAGCAGAGAAGCAGAAAATGCCAGAGCCCGAGACTAGGGTTTTAAGGTCTCAAACTTCCAAAGTAGTCTGTCCGCGTAGGGACGTGCTTAAGAAACGTGTGCGGCCTTCGATGCCAAATACAGTTTGGAAGGATAAAGCTATAAACCCACTTAGGCCTTCAATTTTGCCCCCATTTAAATACTCTCTTTTTCCTTTTTTTTCTTCTTCTTCCTGTGGAAGGAATTTATAAAGTAGAGTAGTGTGTTATTGGTTAGATAGAATTTCAATCATGTTAAAAGTACACTAAAAAATGTACCGCAATTTGTACTTTAAAGAAATGCACTGACATTTTAACGATTCATATTGGCACAAAATTTAGTTCAATGTAAATTACCACACTAGTATCACACTAGCACAAAATGTCGGTATATACCTTTGGGGTACAAAATGAGGTACAAATTTTGGTGTACAAATAGCTTAATCCATAAAATTTATATTGTATTGTGTAATACATTTATACCGGTCTAATGAGTCGTCTCTTTTAAACCCTAAAGTAGCTCCCCCTAAGGAGGCTATTACTAATGAAGATTCACACCTCTCTCTTTGACACGTTATCAGCATTGCTCTAGAAAAACCTTAATCATTTTTTCACTTTTTTCTTTCTCGACTCTGCCACCACTCATCGGAAGTAGAGGAGCAATCCACAAACATTCATCATTGACCATTCTCAACTCTGCTCCAGTCGCACAATAGTCTCTGGCGCCACCTATTAAAAAATAGAGGAGAAATCAACCTTGTCACTCATCATCAGCCTCAAAAATGACTTAGATGGACTTGAGTACCATCACTGGGTTTCTGATGTGAAAACTATTTTCGTAGTTAAAGACTACTCTACCATGCTTAAAGATTCATCAAAATTGAAAGATGGCACCGCATCTGAGAGAGTGAAACCTGGTGCTCTCAAGTTCCTTAGGCACCACATTGACCCAAGTTTACGTTGGGAATATCTTTAATTGAAAAGCCCTAAAGAATTGTAGGATACCCTTAAGGGCCACTTTAAGAACATTCATGACACTTTGCTCCCAGAGCTAACTACGCAATGGGATGAAATCCGTTTGCAAGATTATAAACGGATAAATGAATTCAAAAAAGACGTGTTGAAAAGCACGTCTCATTTTTTATGGTAAGCCGTTCACAATAGATGACATGATTCAATAAAGCTCTTTCTACATTCCATACTTCCTCCATGATACTAGCGAGCTAGTATAGGATTGAGTATGAAAATAAAAGAATCACAACCTTCGGCAAGTTGATGAATATGATGCAAATTGCAAAGAAATATAATGATGTCCTTCTGAACCATAATGCTCGACCTGTTGGGACAAAGAAAATTCCCAAAACAAATTTTGGTAAAACAAAACATGGAAAGAACTATAATGAATGGGGACGTGGACGTGTTGATCCTTACCCACGTGGAAAAAACTCTAATCGTGGGAAGGGTCGTGGTAGAGGTCCTAGAGAATCTTCTAATGTATGGCAAAAAGAATCCAATGATAGATCGACCGAGTGGTCAGATGCACCCAAAGGTTCTCCCCTTAAAAAGAAACGAGATGAAAGTGAGCCATGTCACCGATGTGGAGTAAGTGGACACTGGAACAAACACTGTCGTGCTAATGATAAAGTTGAAGCTTGCTAAAAAAATATCGAGAATCTAGAGAGTAAGAATCTCAATATTTAGATACAGAAGACAATGACGTTGATGTCAATCTTACCCTTGCACACTTTACGAACAAGGGAGATTATGCATAGTCGATGGATGCACCAGACTTTGATTGATATACTTTATCAATTTTTTGCCATGGACAATGTTACTATCCACACCATATTGTGAAATAGGCAATTATTTGATAACTTTATAGTGTATAATTAATCTGTGACAACAATGATTGGATCATCACAAGCTGTTCAACGACGAGGTACGATATTTTCTTACTCCCAAATGGTACCTTGATTAAAAGCTGTAAATGCTCTATATGCACCTAAAGCTTCTTGCACCTTATTAAGTTTCAAAGACATTTGTGATAATGGTTTCATATTGAAACCCATTATGAGGATGGCATTGAATACCTTTATATTACCTCTGATGAATGTGGAAGAAAACACATTTTAGAGAAATTTAAAAGTAAAAATAGTGAATTGCACATCACTACAATTCAAGTAATTGAATCTTATTCTATAAGCCATGATGAAATATGGGATATTGACCGATACAGGCTTTAGCATGATCGACTTGGCCATCTTGGCCGTGACATGATGATTCGTATCTTAAAAATTCTCACGGTCATCCATTCTTTCATAATAAGGACAAAATTACGAAAAATCCCAACACAATGTATAGTGTTGGATCTAATCTTGCCCAAAGTAGAAAAATGTCTTCTAACATAACAGAAGAATCATTCACATGATCACATCTCAGCATTCCCATTAACCTTGTCAAAGGCTCAAAAATCTTTTTACAAAGCTTGCTCCTTAGCAAAAACAGGGTCGAGACCTTCCTATGCTAGAGATCCAAAATAAAATATATCATTCCTTCAATGAATACAAGGAGATATATGTAGCCCTATCCAACCAGAAAGTGGTGCATTTAGGTGCTTTATGGTTCTCATTGATGCTTCGACATGTTGGTCACACATCACATTATTATCAACAAGAAATGTTGCATTTGCAAAACTCTTGGCACAAATTATTCATTTGAGGGCTCACAACTTTGACCACCCAATCAAGTGTATAAGACTTGATAATGTCGTAGAGTTTACGTCAAAGAACTTTGATGACTATTGCATGGCTATTGAGATTGATGTAAATAATCTTGTTCCCCATGTACATACACAAAATGGTCTCGCAGAAGCTACAATTGAAAGATTATAAATGGTAACTCAGGCTTTTCTTATGCACACAAATTTGTCAATCTCTGCATGGGGTCATGCCATATTGCTTGCATCATTACTTATTCGCTTTAGACCCACCGCCGCACAACTGTTTTTTGCATACCACTTGGTGACTAGTTACAAGCCTGATATTTTACACTTACGAATCTTTGGTTGTGCAGTGTATGTGCCGATTGTGCCTCCACAACGCACTAAAATGGGTCCTCAAAGACGATTAAGTTTTTACAGTGGATATGAATCACCAAAAATTAAATGTAATTTAAAACCATTGACTGGTGATCGTTTTACTACTAGATTTAGAGATTGTCATTTTGATGACACAACATTCTCGTCGTTAAGGAGATACAAAAAAACATTTTTCTGAAGAACGACATGAATTATCTTGGTTTGTTCCTCCTTTGTCTTATTTTGATCATTGTACTTCACAGTGTGAAAATGAAATGATAAGAATAATCAATCTTCAAACGTGACAGATTCGATGCCCGATTCATTCAATGATATTGCAAAAGTAACAAGATCACATATACCCGTGGCAAATGTACATGCAAGGCTAGAAGTCCCAAACAAAGAACACAATGCCATAACGATAGGCATTGCACCCACACCTAGGGGAAGTGCGGGTGAGGCCGTGGCTCCCCAAAGGAAGAGAGGAAGACCATCGCTTGGTTCAATAGACACTCGTCTAAGAAGGAAAAGGGCATTTACGACACAAACAAATCTGTTAATTATCGATGTGGAACATCCATCACATGAAATCATCTCTGGTTATAGCTATGTCCATGAATCATTACTGGAGGACGCTACGATGATGAATATGATTTGAGAGAACAAACAAATCTCAATGGATTATGGAAATGCACATGTGCTAATAGACCGATCTTCAATATACATTGATGATATATTTGTTTATAATATTACTCTAGAAATTATAGATCATGATGATATCTAGGGCTAGGTCCGAAAAACCGAAAAACGAACCGAAATCAATCGAACAATACCAAAAACAACCGCACCGCAAAAACCGAAACCGAACTCAAAAAACCAAACCGAACCGGTTGAATTCGATTTCGGTTGCGGTTTTGGCTATTTAAAACCGAACCGAAATGCTAAAAACCAAATATTACTTAGTAATAGCCGTTTAGGTTTATAGTCAATACTCAATAGTCAGATTCCTCAAATCGACAAATCCCCAATCATCGATTTGCCATCCAACACTTCCGAGTTTCGAGTTCTGAATCGCAGATTCTTCAGGCAGTGTATTGAGTCTTCTTCGCTTTTGCGCTCTTCCACCATTGACGCAGTGAATTGAGTGAAGCAGTCCAAGATTGAAGCAGTCCAAGTTCTTTAATTGTAGTGAAGCAGTCTAAGTTTTTCACAGTGACGAATTGAAGCATCTAACCAAGAAGGTATGATATCATATGTTCTTTAATTTTTTTATCAAAAAATGTTCGTGCGACACTGCGACATATTGGGTATGTTTAGTTCCAGTAGACTTGATGTGGAAAATTAGGATTCTTAGGAATATGCTTGGAATTAAAAAGGTAGAAATGCATCTGTACATAAAATATGCAACACAAGAACACAGAATATCTTCCTTTTGTGGTAGTATAGAGGCAAGTTCAATTAAAGCATGAAATAAGTCCATATGCAGCCACTCAAATGATGGCCACTCGACTTGTCCCCTAAAAAATTAATTGGATCTAAGATAAATTACGAAAGAAAAAGTGTTATACATACATACACACACACACACACATATATATTATATTCAGCTCTTATTTTAATATAAATAAATTTATAATATATATATATATTTGAAAGGAGAGATATTTTATTATTGAGAAGAAAAAAAGGTACAAAGAGGAGGGGGTGGCCGACCCCAACATCAGGCCAAAGCAGAGAATAAAAATAAACCATAGAAAACCCAAAGAACTAAAAAACAACAGGAGAGGACAGAGCTTCCAAGACAACCAAGAAAATGACAACAATCACTTGCTCAACTGTCATCTACTACCCAATTGGTACTGTAATACCCCGTATCAAGATGGGAATGGGAAGAGCTCAAAAGGATTGATAGTACTACTCATACCAACAAGGTGCATCTTCTTTTTGAGAGCTCATCACCTAGAAACTCCAAGGTTAAGCGTGCTTGACCTGGAGCAATTCTAGGATGGGTGACCCCCTGGGAAGTTTTCCTTGGGCGCGCACGAGTGAGGACAAAGTGTGCAGGAAAGACTTGTGTTGGTTTGTGGGGACAGTCTACAATCCTATGAGCGAACACTTACGG